CTCGTGAACGGCGAGGCGGCGCGGGCTGGGGCGGGGGTTTGGGTCCTCGGCCGTCTCCTGAAGGCCGTCGCGGAGCACAAGTCAGACGTTTCGCGCCTCTTCGCCGGCTACGTGCATATCGTGCGCACCGCCGAGGACGAGCTGCAGGCACTTGGGCAGAGCGTGAGTTTGAACGCATGCTGCATGCTTTGTGGTGTAACGCCGTCGTGCAAGGTCTGACCTGGTGTCTCGTTCCAGGACACGGACCCCCACGTCAAGGTGCGGACCCTCGCGGACCGCAGTCTGGACAGCGAGGCGCTGGCCGCCTTTATCAACGAGAACGCTGCCTGGTCACAGCTCGCCGGCGAGGCCGACCTCCGCCTCGCCGTCAACCTAGCGAGCTCGCCGCTCTGATAGCTATAGGTTTTAATGTAAAGGTTTCGGATGATGAAAGGGGCAGAGCGATGCAATAAAAACTTGATTAGAACCTATGAGCATTGTTTCATTTCCTTTTTGCTCTGCCACTCTTTCTTCATCTTCATCGTGGGCCGCTGCTCTGGCGTGTGAAGTGTAAGCCTGAGTGAGTACAGGTGTTAGCAGCTCATTTGTACCCGTATGAGGAAGTTACCCGATAAGAGGAACAAGAAGAAGGTAGCACTGAGGAGGTGGCGTGGCGTAGCGCCGTCCATTAGTGTTGTGTCGCAAGTGGATGTGTGATCATAAATCAAGTTTTGTAGAATTTGTAAAGAAAAATTGGGTCCATACTGGCGTAACAATCTTGTGTCAAAAAGTGCTTCTGCAAAGTTTGGCTTCGGAAAAGTAAGTTTTTACAATCTTCTAAACCGTCGTCCCGGCGTCGTTGGTTAGGTTAGTGTACGGACATATTGCATTGGTACTATTTTAACTCAATGATAATGACTCCACTGTCGTAATAAACTTTGGTATAGGTGGTACCAAGGTGCTAGATGCATAGGCGCGTTCTAAACTGTTTGAAATCTAACCACACGCATCCTAACCTCTGCGAGACTGTCGCTCAATTCTGCTTTGTTTAGGGGCGGCCACGCCACCTCCTCAGTGCTACCTTCTTCTTGTTCCTCTTATCGGGCAACTTCCTCATACCACCGGGCCCAAATCCCCGCGGGCATTCTGCACCTCTTTGTCAAAGAAGGGTACAAATCGCCTGAGCGATTTGTGCCTGGGTGTTGACAGAGGGGGGTACCTCCCTTTGGCGAGGGGGGCGGTCATTTGTGCAGGGCACAAATCCCCAGGTCGTACTAAAATGCTCCTACACTGGTGTGCTTGTTAAACACCGGAACCTTTATTGAACTCTAACGGGGGAAGCCAAGCCCCCTCCCCTGTCCCGCTCCACACCGCCGGGCCGGGCGGTGCGAGCGGTGCGTACGGGTGGGTGCGTGTCTGACCTGGTCTGCCCGCCCGCACCCGCAGAGCCGCGCGAAAGTGCTTCACTCTACGACACACCACCGCCACCATGAGCGGCGAGGCGCTCATCTCGGGCATCGCGAGCACCTTCTCGGAGAGCGGCGACGTCCAGGACTTCGGGCGCGACCTCCTCCTCGCCAACGAGCACCTCGAGAAGACGACGAAGCGCTGGAGAGATGGTGAGGAGGGCCGCACACAGTACTGGAGAACCGTAGTTTTGAAAACCCGCTCGCACCGGCCCCGTGCCCCGAAGGTACAATCCGTTTTCTAAATACTTTATTTACGCCATCACAGACGCCTTTCTTTACGCCTGTATGCGGCCAAACCCCTCACGAGTACTTCGACGATCTCTTCTTCGGGATCAACCGCAAGCTGGCCACGATGACGGACCCATCGTCCAAGATCGGCTACATGCGCAGCTTCGAGGCCATCCTAGACACCGGTAAGGTTGCGGCGCGAAAGCTGCGTGAATTTTTACGCGCTAAATGCGTAGGGTTCAAGTCGTGGACAAGCAGCAGTTACATTGTCTTACATTTGCATACATTTAGTACTGATGACTACTGCTCTGCATGTGACCGCCGCTATTAGAATTCACATGGGCATTAAATTAACGTGGCTGTCAACCGTCCTCACAATAGCTTGCAGAGGGATATTTTCGATGGGGGCAGCGGTGGATCGCAAGCGCCGCTGCCGCTCAAAACGCGCCAGTCCCATACACAACCACGCAAGCACCCGCTCTGGTGGGACTTGGGACTTTTCTTTCTGGTATAGACAGTCTTGGGGACTCATTGGACTTTTTTTTTTTTTTTTTTTTTTTTGCGTACCGATAGTTTTGGAGCTGCGCGGCGTCGCGGACTGACATTCTCCGTCAAGCGCGCGCTTCGTCACGGAATGACCGCCGATGAAGTCACGGACCGACCACCAGATTTGAACTACGCGCGCTATCGTTCCGTGCTCTCGTGTGCGCTGTCCCAGCCGTCCGCTGCCGGCGAGGCTCTCGGGCTGTCCAGTGTTTACACCAAAGAGGCATAGCCGCAAGCGCTCTCGGCTGCACTAGCACCAGCACCGGTGCCTAGGCGGTGCGGTGCGATGGCAAAAACAGGGGCTGAACGAATGCGGGAGTTTAGAGCCCGTCAGAAAGATTCCGCTACTTACGGGCAGATAAAAGAGAAAGACAGGATCCGGAAGGCAAAACAGCGTGCAGTTCTAATGAAGACCAAGAGGGGGCGAGAGAAGTTACGCCGGATCAACAACGAACACAAGAGAGCGCAACGTGCCCGAGCAAGGGTGAGTAGTAGTCATCAGTTCTTTCTGGACTCTAGAATATTTTGTGAGAGATGTAAGAGGTGAAGAGCGACGCCTGCACCCGGTCTCGCGATACTGCATGTTATTTATTTTCCTGTGGCTGATTTATACTAATTTTCTATTTTATTTTGTAGTTAAATGCGGCCAGTTCCTCACGGAAAGGCTTAAAGGCCATACAGCGCGGCGTATCTCTCGGCAGCCGTGGAAGAAAGGCGCAAGTCCCCGCCCGTCCGAGTGGCCAGCTAGGTCTGGAGGAGCGACAGGCTGTAGCGGCCCACTATGAAGACGACGCGTTTTCATTCCAGTCCCCGACGAACAAAGTGACGAGAAAAGTAGAGGAAACCGGGGAAGTTGTTGACATCCCAGTGCGGTATCTCATCGTGACTCTGCGGGAGGCCTACCAAATGTTTAAACTGGCGCATCCAGAGCTGCGCATCGGGAAGGCTTCGTTTTGTGAGTCACGCCCCGAATACGTCCTTTTGCAGCGAAACACGCCACACGACGTCTCCACTTGTCACATTCATGAAAACGTTCGTTTCCTGTTGAACGCGTTGCGGCGCAGTTCGATTGAGATTACCGCAGAGTTCAGAGACTTTGTCGCTCTCTTGGTGTGCGATCCGGAAAGTGCGGAGTGCATGCAATCGGGTTGTCCCGCGTGCCCGGGTCTGTCCTTCTTGCCGTTGCACGAGTCGCAGTTGAAGGCGCCCTGTGAGTGGACGGCGTGGGTCTCGGAAACACAGAGTGTTCAGAAGACGCAGCAGGGGACCGTCCTTGATTGCGTCCAGCGTCTTCAGGGACTCGCGCCGCTCTTCCTCAGTCACACGTTTACAAAGAGGGCGCAAAGCAAAGCGTTTAAAGAAGCGATAGAAAAAGTGCAGGCAGATGAGGCAGTAATCCAAGTGAACTACGCAGAAAACTTTGCCTGCAAGAGTCAGGGTGAAATCTGGGCACATCAATATGTGTCTGTGTTCACAGCTCTTGTGTGGTTCAGGGCAGAGGACAACACTGAGGGGGAAAAATCGTTCGCACTCGTTTCAGACTATACCCAGCATGATAGGTATAGCGTTCATGTGTCTCTACAGGTATTGTTGGGAGAAGTTTTTGCCTTCATATCTGATCTGCGAAAGGTTGTCATCTATTCGGACGGAGCTGCTAGTCAATTCAAACAAAAATACAATATGTGTAACATAACGCATTTGGCAAATGAATTTGGCATAGATATAGAATGGAATTTCTTTGAACCATACCATGCCAAGGGGGCTGTGGATGCCATTGGCGGATCAGTTAAAACCATGGCTTGGGCAGCAGCTAAATCAGGAAGGAGCATAACTAAAGCTAGTGAAGTAGTATCTTTATGTATGGAAGGGGGAACAAAAATTGTAGTGCGAGAAGTCCCGCCGTCTGAAATACTTGAGTGTAAGGAATTTCTCAATAGTAGATGGAAAGATATTAAGCCAATTCCTCAACTTCAAAATGTTCGCCATGTAAAAGTTGTACGTGTAGGGAGTGTAATGCATAGCACACTAACAAATGCAGATAGCCCCCGAAAAAGGCACAATTTTAAGTAGTCCAATGTGTTATTCAAAGAGCTATTTTGTTTTATTTTTTTAAGTTGTGGTTTGAGAACAAATATGATATTATTTTTTTTACATGTCTGTGACACAAGTTATGTTTTTGTTATTTTTTGGCATATTATGTGATATTTTGTATTTTGAAACCTTGTTTCATTAAAGAAATGGCTGGCCAATCACAAGTGTGAGTCAGGTGCATTAGCGTCTGTCGGTTGGTGTCTACCACTGGACTGTAGTTCTGGTCGCACCGGTGGACCCAGTTTGACGATGGCTTGCTGCCCCTAGGCTGCCAGGCGGTGGACGTAGGTAGACGCGCAGTTCCTGGCCAGCCAGCCGACTCGCCGTGCTGGGCGCGCGCCACATCCTGGCGGTCGTGAGATCGTCGCCGAGCTCTCCCATGGTGCGGCAGCGGCAGGGCGCTCTCCGGTGCTCGAGATGCAGCGCCAGCTCGAGGCGGCCTTCAAGCGCCGCGTGCCTATCCCGGTGCACGGCGACGTCGCGAGGGTGCAGCAGCGCCTCGGAGGTGACGCTGCTGACGGCGTCCGGGACGGGCTCCTGAACGGCGAGGCGGCCCGAGGCTGAGGAGGGAGCTCAGGTCCTCGACGAGCTCCTGGAGGCCGTCGCGGCGCACCAGTCGGACGTATCCCGGCCCTTCGCCGGCTACGTGAACATCGTGCGCACCTGTGAGGACGAACTGCTGGCACTGGGACAGAGCGTGAGTTTGAGCACATGCTGCTTGCCCTGTGACGCCGTCGTCCAGAGGTCTGAACTGGTGTCGCGTTGCAGAGATAGGACCCCTTCGCGGACCGCAGCCAGCCTGGACAGCGAGGCGCCGGTCACCTTCGACGAGAACGCTGCCTGGTCTCAGCTTGCTGGCGAGGCTGACCTGCGCCTCGCCATCAACCTGGAGAGCTTGCCGCTCCGATACCCATAGTTTTAGTTTATGTGTAATTTATGCAATAAAAACTTGACTTAAACCTTTCTGAGCAATGCTAAGGTTTAATCAGGTTAAACAGGATAAAACATCAACATGAGAAACGTGTTTATGTCCTATTGTTGGGGGTTCCGCCAACAGGATACTCTCGTAGCGCCTGGTGGGTAGGCAACCGCATTCACGCAGTGCGTGAGTGTACTGCGGGTTGGCCTACCTCGCGTCTCCCAGGCGCCGAGCTCGGCTAAAACTGCGGAAGTAATCGAAGTAGAACGCACGTACACTCTCAGCCCGTTACTGACACTTTGCAAATGCACAATAAACTTTCTTATACAGCAGTAATACTCACAAAATTGCACGTAATACTCACAAATTTAGTAAGTTATACTAATTATTTTGTTAGGAATTACTTAGGAAGATGATCCTAAGTACTTGCTAACAAAATAATTAGTATTACTTACTAAATTTGTGAGTATTAC